TAATTGCGGTATAATTAAATAAGTTTGTGGTAAAATAATATGGGGATTATGAATGTCATGCAACGGAAACAATGTTATTAAAATCGGCCCGGTCATTGACCCGGTCGAGATACTGGGTTACTGGGTCACTGGTTCAACCAGTGGATTACTGATTCAATATTTTACCTTCAACCAAACATAGACTCAGAAAATTTAACCCAATTTTTTTGATAATATTTTGACCTACCAAACAACTTATTTTTAACTTTCCTACCAAATTTATTTTTTCACCATATTCCTAATAATTATATTTTCTTGATAAAAAAATTTTCCTTTACCAAACGCTTCCTAAATCAAATTTTTGGTCATGCTTAAAGAGTCCAAATATTTGAAGGAAATATGGTTTTAATCATTTCTCATTTTAATTGCGGTATAATTAAATAAGTTTGTGGTAAAATAATATGGGGATTATGAATGTCATGCAACGGAAACAATGTTATTAAAACTGGCCCGGTCATTGACCCGGTCGAGATACTGGGTTACTGGGTCACTGGTTCAACCAGTGGATTACTGGTTCAACCGTATGACCCGATAATTATATGCAATTTTATATATTAAAAAATTATAACCACACTCAAATATCTAAGCAAAAATGACAAAAAATTCAAATGTTTTAATATAAAAAAGAATAAATCACATATTATTATACAATAAAGGATCAAACAAAAATATAATGATCGTGATACGGGACTTTAGGTTCAGAAAATGACATCTCTAACTATAAATCAAATCAAAATTTTCTGCATAGTGCATAATTAAGATAATATTAGTGTTGTAGGTACATAGCTTATGTAAGTTAATAAGAGAAAAAAAATATTTAAATATGTCCATTATGATTTTTTTTTTGAAAAAAAATTTGGAATTTTTTTTGAGACCAGGCCGGGTCACTGGTTAACCGACCGGGTCACCGGTTTTCATGAAAACCGGCCGGGTCGCACCGGGTCACACCGGTTCTGATGCATGACCGGTCCGTTGCTTGAATCAGACCAGTTATATGACCGGTTTATCGGTTCACGGGTCGACCTGGCCGGGTCGGTTCAGTTTTAATAACACTGAACAGAAATGAATCCCATTTTCCTGCAGAGACAACATCGATGGGTCCCGTTGGGTTTAAAAAAATAAATCAAAAAACAAAACATTTGAGACACGATTTTCGATCTATCTATAACAGGATGGAATGAATTTCCTGTAATATAACAATTACAAATCCGAAATAATATTAGGAATATATTAACTAGTTAAAGTGATTGATCATTATTTGAAAAAAAAATCCTTGATATTTTTTTACATTTTAAGAATTTTTGTTAGGGATAAGTTATTCTGCTTATTTTTATTTTGTCTATATTTACCTACCCTTTTCAATATCATTAGATGACAATCTCATCCAATGATAGAGATTTACGATATAAAAATAAACTCTTTGACCCATTTCTCTCGCCCACTACCTCTCACTCTTTTTCTCTCCTCCCTTTTCTCTTTCTTCAATGACGCTTCAGTATAAAAAAAAATTACAAGCTTTTTTCTAATTCATCCAATCCAGCCATTGTTATGAGCATTTACATAAAAAATTGAAATGAGGTGTCAAGAAGAAATAAACTCAGATGCGCCATGTTATAGAACCAGGTAGGCCTGTTGTTGGGCGTGACATAGAGAGAACAAAGATTCTTTCCCCACTTCAAGATGAAAAACAAGATAAGAAGAAGGAGATAAGTTGATTCATTTCAAATTTCAACAGCAAAGTAGAAACGTTAAGGTAATAGTGGATTAATTCAGATGAAGGGTTATTCGTGGTTTTAGTTTTTTTTTTGTGTGTGGTTTCTGCCGTGTTCAATTATATCAAATTCAAGAAATTTTGAAAATTATACTCATCCGGCAAAACTATCATGCCATTAATCATTGCATGAATTTAGATTCAAATATAAATTCAGGTTGTAAATTACGCAAATCGATAGAGAGAAAGAGGAGGAGAGAGAAAGAGTGTGGGAGACAATGAGGAGAAAAAAGAAAAAGAAAAAAAGGTTTATTTTATTCTGCAAATCTCCACCATTAGATAAGATTATAATATGTTCTTACCCCTATATGCTGAGTTCCCTAGCGCCAATTAAGCTATCATCTATTGAGATATATAAAAGAACCAATTCAATCAAAAAGCTTAAACTGTTGGGTGATGCTACATTAATGGTTTTATATATCTCAACATGCCCCCTCACACGAGAGCCCACTGGGCTTGAAGGGTGGACAATGCACAGACCCACCTACCTGTGCGAAAAAAGAAATTCTACTAGAAAGAAAGCGGGGAGCGAACCCGGTACACCGAGGCTCTGATACAATATAAAGAACCAATTCAACCCAAAAGTTTAAACTGTTAGGTGAAACTACATTAATGATTTTTTATATATCTCAACACCATCATTGTCGGATGTAATTTTGACAAAATGGTTAAAATAAGAGTAATGCTGAGCCAAAATTTAAAATTTACATTCATTAATCATCCTATCATAGTGAGCTAAACCAGTTCTAAAATTTGGTTATATGCATGTCAACATTTTAGATATTTTCAGTTGTTTATTTATCCTCGATAACATTTTGTAATTCCTTTGTTGAATACCACTTTGTTTTTCGTTTTTTCTCGCCCATTCAATTTGCGCTATATTAAAATTTCGCGGCAATGATTCCTCAGCTGAAACAAAGGAAGCACAAATAAATTAATTAATAAAAATCGCGAAGGGGATGATGTTGGAATAATCAAACAGTGTGGAATTTTCCTTTTATCCAAATAAAAAATAAAAAAATCAAACAGTGTGGAAAGCAGTATTTGGAATTTAAAAATGCACAGTGTCAGGAAAATTGTTGTACAAAAATGCATAGAAAAGCACAAAGAATCCAACGTGCAAATAGGTATATTTGGTGTTGCTTCTTTTCTAAATGATTCATGGACTGTACCGATCCTACTAGGACAGGCCCACTATCGGCAAAGAGAAGGAAGAGGAGTAGATGAACTAAACGAAAATAAACAGCATCGTTGTATAAAATAAATAAATAATATTAAATTAGTTAAATTCAATTCGAGTACCCGGATGATCATCTCAAAATCGGATCAAACTTGATCGCGTCTTTAGAATCGACTTTCTAAGCAAGGCTCATTCTTTTGCCATGAGCATTGTCGACTCTCTAATAAGAGACTTTTTATTTAATTCGGCTGATGTTATTTAAAAAAAAAAAAGACAAAAAAAAGATTATTTTGGGTGTGATTTTATCTGATGCTAAAATGAAAAATTCTTGTGCAGATTTAATTTTTCATTGGGATGTAAATTGTTGAAAATCGATAATTATACACAAATCGCAAACGAATAGACAAAGAAAAAGAGAAAGAGAGAATTGACACAATAATTTATTTTGATTTACTTAACGTAGACTAGGTCCAGTTTGTCTGTACTATATTTAGCTCACCGTCACTCGTTACAAATCACTCAATGAAAATATAAATAGAATTAGAAATACTAACAACAACTGTTTATGGGCCATGAGCCTAAGTCCAAACTAATAAGAAATTTTTTTTTACAATAAACCAGAAATCCACAATAATACCTAATCTCTATGGGCAGGGGCTGCCTCTCAAATCCCAGCCCACTCACCTAAGTGCGAGATACCAGTTAATTTTTTAGTGATCCCGACATCAATAACCTGCATGCAAAATACCAATGATAACCAACACAAATATATTCAAAGCCTAATTGAGAACCCCATTTCACCAACTGGGCAAAAGGACAAATTTGGAGAAAAATGGAAGAGCAGAACAATTAAAAGAAAGAGCAGAACAATTAAAAGAAAGAAAAATAAAAGAAGAAAAACGGGGAGGAACTCTTGGGCTATATACTTCGAAGCTTTTTGCCAACACTTCGCATTGCAACCCTGACCCCCTTTTCACTCCTTCACCACGGCCCACAAAAATTCCCAAAATTTCTCCACACCAACTGAATTACCAACCTACCACGTTGTGTAATCAATCCAAAAGGAAACCCCAAATCCCAATCATTACACAAGACGACAACAAGGCATGAAAGGATTGTGTGGAAAGATTTGGTGGAACAAGGACGGAAATGTAATGATCATGCGAAGGAGCGAAGCTCAACGTGTAAAGGAGACTAGGAACAAGCCATGCAGACAAGGAAAGAGAGATGGATAGAGTAAAAGGTCAAGAGCTTCTTTTCCTTCTAAATTTGTGTGGCTATTTCTATTTTCCTTATTGTTTGTTCCTGGACACGAATTTAATTTTGCTTTAGATGTTGTAAAGGGATAGTATTTTTCACAAGAAATAGTTATCGTTCTCATAGAACAGGTTGAAATATTTTCTTTGTAGTCTTCTGAATTAAAGGTTCTTGAATTGAAATTTAATTGATTTTAGAACAAGAATTTTTTTTAGTCTTTATCAAGTATTAAAACTGATCTGAAAAGTATAAAAATAATTTATCAATATTAAAAACTTCTGGGTATATCTCAAATCATGGATGATAAAAGTAATTGCATTACTGTAAATTCGTACAATGCTATAACATGTTTATTTCAGTTTCTGAGTTACTACGACAAGTTTAGCTGAAACTTTCCAGGTTCAGCAATAAGGTTCAAGAAGGACTTTTCCCAAAGCTTCTTGAACCCTATAGAAATTTATATCAGAAAACTCCTTTGATTATCCCTAACCAAAAGGGTTCATTTAACACTTAACAAAAATCCATTTTCCAATTTCTTTTTGCTGAAATACTCAACACCCATTCCCAGGGAGTTCTTGAGTTAAGAAGATGAAAGTATGAAACGAATAAAATAAACGAAATAGTAATGCACACTAAAAATTTCACCCAATCATTTTGACAAACCCAAAAAAAGAAAAGAACTAGAAACTCATATTCAGAAACAGCAAATCAAATATTAAAGAAAAAGAAAACATGCATTAAGAAGTAAAATCAAAGTAATCGTTCAAATCAAGGTACCGATTCCTAAACTAGAGCTAGGATCTTGAATCTTCACTTGCATGCACTTCCTCGATCCTTTCTTCCTTAGCGTTGTCAATGCTTGAAATTATGAATCTTGAAGAGCTCAAGAAGTGAAGAACACACACAAAGTCTTCTAAAACAGCAAACTCTCAACACACACAAAGTCTTCTAAAAACAGTAACGAACATTGAAGAAAATCTTGATCTCAAAAAAATTCTCTTACGGAAAAAGTATATCCCTATTTTTTACAATCCACAAAAGTTAACTAAAACAAAAATCTTCCTATCAATAGCCGTCCATCTTCTTTTTCATCCAATGGTTCTGAATTGTTCCTTCCAATTGACCAACGTGCCTTCTTCATTTATTTTCTGAGCTGAAAGTAAAAATAAAATAAAACATGTAAGAAAACAAGCCAATTACTTCTCTTCTATTTTTTACCTTCTTTTTTACTTGGGCCATTTTAATCCTCTTTTGTGCCCATTTACCTGAAACATCAATTATTAACAGCCCAAAGAGATTTAAATAACATAAAATAATACAATAAATATATATATTTTTTAGTGCTAACAAAATACCCCAAACTTAAGTAATTGCTTGCTCTCAAGCAATCAGACAAACTTTTACTCAGAAAATAGCCTGTTAGCTCAAATACACAGTCACATAACAACACATATTTAATTTTAATAACTCAATTAAATTTATTAACCATCTATGCAAAACAACACTTCTTAAAGCATTGACCAGGCTTAATATTAACCAATTCCTACATCAAATTAATCATCCAACTGCAGTCAATCAACAATTATATAAGCATTCAATCAAAAATTCATGCACACTCAAACAGTTGCAACCCTTAACTTAACTTGATTCAATTGACATTCCACTGAATTTCTTTCCAGACATATTCAATCAATCACACTCTCTTTTTTTATAAGGAAGTTCACTCATTATCATCATGTATGAATGCTTCCAACCTACACTACCATTTAGAAACTTGAAGTCCAATATGCTACTTCCATCAAAGGGTCTTTAAGGCTTGTAATGAGGCAGAGCTAGGATTTTTGTTTTTCTGGTCACTTGGCTAATTAAGCTAACCCTTAGTGTCTAACTAATCCTCATTACCTTCTTACGATTTTATTTTTGCCTAAACAAGACAAAGGGAAACTATTGAATTTCTCCTCCCTTTTTTTATTGATCACCTTCACAATTTTTACTTTTGCCTCTTTCCCTCCTTTTTTACTCCAGCAAGCTCAAAGATCTCTATTTATTCAACCTCTTTTTTTTTTTTTAAAGAAAAAGAACTCCTTTTATAACATCACTTGTTCCCCTTTTTCTTCGAATATTTTTTATTATTATTTTTTTTACCTCCTGACCCTCTTTTCTTTTTCTTTCCCTTCTCTTTTTTTTTTACACAACCAATTTCCCTTTGCCTTATTTAGCTTGCTGTATTTCTAAACTAATGAGAATTAGCTAAATACTAAGATAGCCATATAAGGTGGACAAGGAGTTTGGCTTATAATATCAGGGTACATAATCAGAAAAGAAAGGTTTATGGCTCAAATATAGGGACCAAGGGATATAATTAAAGGGTGAAGCTTTTGGCTCTAGGCTACACATTCAGAAACAATGCCCCAATCACACAGAAATAACATATTAGTCATCCAAACAGAGTGCAGTATTCAAAACACCAATATACAATGACCACTCACAAAGGAATAGAGTGTTTAGGTTCAAATACCTCACATGGGTTGTTAATCCAGTGGTTTATTAGTGAATCAGCAAATTAGGGATCACAAATTTTTTTTTATGGCATGTAAATTGATTTTCAGCTTATATAAATACTGATTAACTAAGTTAAATCCTTAATTGACTAGGAATTAATTTAATCAAATCTGATTATACTTAAGCAGCGAAAATGTTAAATACAGGTTATAAATTATTTCCAAGTTACCACTAAGCTAATCAAGCATTCAAAACATAGTGAATTTTAATCATTTTTAAGGACCAATAAGCAAATAATCAGTAAATTGTTGGTAACAACATATAATCACCCCAAACTTAAAATTAAGCTGGGTCCTCACAGCAGAGCATAAATATATATAAAAAACTATAAATTGAAAAAAATAAAATAAATAAATAATTAAGAACATGGGTACCAACAAGAGATTGGGCTGCCGATGTACTGAAATATGAATCAGTGAGCAAATAATGCTGTTAGCAAAGAAAAATAGATCAGAATTTAGCTCATGTTTAGATATTTTTTACAAACAATGCAGCCAATTGATCTATCCATCCCATAAGCACAAGATAGTTAAATGTTATTTACTTTCTCACAGGAAAACTTCTACCATATAGCTTAAACAAAATCCAGGTGGTGGTAGCAGGCATCTCCAGAACAATTTGACCATAAAGATCTATCACACATAAAGTAAATATAGGTTCGTCCATTGTACCACAAAATATAAACATGTGCAGATGTACAAATTCAAGTCATACTTACTCAAATGATATGAAATCCTAGAATGCATATGCTGCCCAAACCTTATTAGTAAGTAGTCAAGCAATACAGGTATCCATTTAAACCATATATTCCATTAAAAAATAGCTTGAGTAGCCATTTAGGTTATGATGTAATGCCTTACAGAAAATGGAGACTACTCAAGTCTACATCCCATAAAAATATGTCTCAAGCCCATTGATCCGTTCTGTTCACACTATCTCAAAGTATGCATCAATATAGACCACAAGAATCAGATAATATGCTGTAAAAATAAAATAAAATAATTAGAAGAAGGCAATCCAGTTCAAACATCATTACTTCACAACGCAACATAATGTAATCAAACAAGGATATCCTTTTTCAAGTTATACGAAGATGGTTTCTTAACTCAGTGAACATAGGAAAGAGAAATTAGTTATCATAGAAGATGGATAAGGAAATACAGGTCGGTGATGGCAAGGACTCAAAAAATAAAACATAAAAATAAAATATAAATATATGAAGTAGAAGAAATTTTATATATAAAATCTGTAATGGAAGGAGAAATTTAATATCTTAGACGAAAGAAGAAAAATAAAAACTAAAAATTAATAAAAAGGGGGTTAGGTATCTTTTTTTAGTAATAGTAATAAATCAGAACATCCAAATTCTCAAATCAGACCCCTAGCCTAATCTCAAGAGAACCAAACGATACATGGGTATGGCTCAAATGGGAGGTTAGTGAAACAACCCAAAGCAAGAGAGGGTTAGGGTTTTGGAAATATCAAACCTTTATTCCCTTTCTTGACTGCTTACATGGCGAGGAAAGCAAAGCTGAGAATTTTTGGTTCAGAAGCTCCAACGAACGGCTCGAAGGTGGAATTTTCTCCTGGCAAGGTTGAGCGATGGTGGAAGTATGGCTTCAAATTAGGTTGCTCCAACTCCTGCTTGGCGTGCTCGACGACACTCGGTGTAGAAAGAAAAAAATAAAATAAAAGAGGAATGAAGAGATTGACGAAAAGGGAGAATCTATCTGAATAGTGGAAGAGAAACTAAAGAGGGTCTGGTAAGGTTGAAGTACGTTGTGTCTCAATGGTGAGTGAACTTAGCAAAATGGGTGTGAGAAGAGAGAAAGAGAAATAAATAAAAGGAAAAAATGTTTGTCATTTTAAATGACACAAAGTTATGTCATTTTTAATGAAACTACGTCGTTTTGGTGTGTTTTAACATTCTCTCTTCCATTTTTTTTTTATTTCTAATTTTATAAATTAGAAAAAAATGACAAAACACACCAAAACGACGTAATTTCATTAAAAATGACACAAAGTTATGTTAAAGATGGTGGGAAAGAAAGAAAAATATAAATACCCTTTGTATTTACTTATATTTTTTTATTGGTAAAGCCTGCGTGATCGGGGTGTGGTCTTGTCAAACAGTGCAACTTTATGCACAAGCTATTGGATATTAGCTCAGATGCATTTAATGGCTTTTACACCACCATTAAAAATGGTTCTGCAGTAAAAGGAACACTCCTCGATCAGGAGATTTTTACATCTGGACCAACAAACTAAGATTGATTTGTATAGAGGGGGTTGGGTAGGAAGAAAGGTAAGATATTGAGGAAGAGAAACTTCTGACCATTGTCAGATTTAAAATAAATAAAAAAATAAAAAATAAATTGGATATGAGTATAATGGGTTGAATATAATTGGGCTGGCACACAAGAATGGCCCAATTTATTTCAAACAATGGTTTTATTAAACCCCTTAAGTGTTTTATTTTATTTGGCCTAATTAATTAATAGAAACCCAATGCACAAGTGATTCTACTTACTGTAAAAAAAATTATTGGGTTCATCAGTTTGAAATGTTCTGAACAAAAATTCTACTTCACCCCCAATTCATGTTAACTTTCAAAAAAATAAATAAAAATAAAAAAATAAAATAAAAAATAAAGAATAAAAAAATTCAATATTGGTACTTACGCATAGTGTGTTACGCTAGCCATTTTGTTATATATAATTTTTTATTTTTTATGGACAGCAAATAGAACAAACATGAACAAAAGCCCATGACACCCTCTCAGCTAAACTATCCTTTTTTTAATTGCTCATTTTGGTTCCATTCAAGTCACGTGTGACTTAAAATAGTCACTCACCCCAAACTTAATTATTTGCTCACTCTCACAGTTCATACTCAGCAATTCTGGACCATCTTAATTCTTCAGTCAACTCCCTTTTTTTTTATTTCACAGAACAATTTTTATTGGTTTTAGAAGACATCTATAACACCTCACAATTTTAAATTAAGTATTTAAGCCATTAAGTGTGTAATTAAGTGGAGATTCAGTGAAAATCCTAAAGATTAGGCCAAAATACAAAGAAATGGCAAAATGGTAATTAGCCAACACGCAACCCTAGGAAGATAAAAATTGAGTAGAAGGTCTCAGATGGTAAAAATAACCCTGGAAATGGGTTCAGAACAAAAAAATGAGTGGATAGGCAAGTTTCAAAAAAATCAGTGAATAGTGTTTTTCGCGGGTAAAAATACCGCGTTACGATTGCTCCGTAAAATGTGTCAGTTGAATTTTGAGCTCTAGGTTTCAAATATGAGTTACAAATGGTCTAATGAGTTAGGAAATATGATTGTTGATAAAATTTGATGAAAGTAAGTCATTTTGGGGAAGCGTGCCAACGGCGCGCGCGATAGCTTAAAACAATGTTTTCTCCCAACGAATGGAGGACTCCGAATTCATCTGATCAAGCCTAATTAAAGTGGAATAGTTAATGTTAAAAATTAGAGTTTCTAAATAGACTTTGAATTTACGGACGTTTAGTGAGAGTTTTGACGCGTTTTGAATCGCGTGAGGTGGCGTGGGACACACCCCACTTGAAATTCACTTAAACACATCATCAAAACACTATTCCTTCATCACTCTCACTCCCCTCTCTCTCCCTTCAGCCGCGCACAGCCCCTCCCCCTTCCTCTCTATGCAAAATTTTCTTTGGACCTTAACTTAGCCATTTCTCCACCAAATCCTTTGGTTTTTGTGTTGAAATCCAATGGAAATCACCTTCTAGACTCATTGGTAGCCCTCCCAAGCCCTGAGTCCAGCTGCATTTCTCGGAATCTCTCCCTCAAGGCCGCGGCTCACTTGTGAAATTTGATGTTCATGGAGCTTTGCAATGCTCCAATGGTGGAGTATGTGTAGGAGGAGCCCATTGCCTAGCATTTGAGTGAGTTGTTACACCTTTTTATTGGTTGATTCTTGTGATTGAGTTTTGAAAACCTAAAGCTTTGATTTGATGAATAGTTGTGTTAGAGAGCTCAAATGGAAAATGTCTAGTAGATGATAATGCCTTAGAATGATGTATTAATGCTAGAGATGCAATAAAAATTTTAGGTGAAATGTGATGATTTTAACTTGGTGAATTTGAGGTCATGAATTTGGGACTTTGGAATTTTGTGTTGAGGCATTGTTTGATGAATTGTGGTATGATTATATGATGATATAATGTGGTTGTGTGAGATGTGGAGTGAGTAAAAGTGAATGGAAATCCTAGAATTGCCATAGGTTGCAACTTGGACTTTAAAGGAAAATTGTGGAATTGATGTTGTTGGAAATTGTTTGAGTGATGAATTATGTGTTAAAAAGGTAATTAGATGGGTTGTGTGGTGATTGGCAAGTGGAAGAATCAATGCAAAAATAATAAGTGGCTTAGTTGGCATAAAGAACTTAGAGTGAAATATTTCGCAAAACGAGGCGTAAATGTCGTAAAACGGAAAAACGAGGATTGAACTAGCCTCTAAGCAACCTAAGGAAGCGTTATAAAATGAGAAAGAAAATTTAGAAAAATAAATCCCCAAATAACACATAGATGGTCGAACCTTCAAGGAGGAAGGGGGGATTTTGCGGTTTTCACGTTTTGATGTAATTCGACCCGAAAATGACGAACGACACTTGAATTGGCCTCTTGACAACCTAATGAGGCGTAACAAAATGAGAAAGAAAATTTAGAAAATAAATCTCAAATTAACACTAGTTTGGCCGAACCTTCAAGGATGAAGGGGATGATTTTGTGATTTTGCGTTTTGATGCTATTTGACGCGTACTGATGGATGTACGTAATTGTATAGGTTGCCGTACGTTGACTTGAATCCTGAAACTTGAATCTGGGAGTTGCCCTTGGTCCTGGACCAAGTGGATTGATGTATGTAATTGGTTCAATGCATGTATAATTGTAAATTAGCATGTATTGTTTGAATTATAAGAGATTGGGAATGTCCTCTGTGTAGGCATTCTGTTGTGTACCAAGTTGAGGGATAAGCTGCTGCGGAGTTTGTGAAAACAATATTTAAGGTAACCTCTTGGTACTGAGGCTTGTTCCCCTTTTCTGTTCCACCTTGCCAGTTGATGGCAACGGTAGGAAGTGTGTATGAGTAGTATAGAACACATGAGCATGCATGCATTATTACAATGGGTACTTATGTACCGAGTCTCTGGCCAGTAGACAGTTTTATTAGCCTTCGGGCAGTTTCGGACTTCCGCTGGATAGGTCTCCAGGAGAGAGTTCCAGTTGACCGTGGGTCATGGTGTGTGATCCGGGTAGGAGCACACTAGGAATGTCTTTGGCATTTTGGATGGTTGAGGCATCATGGTTGTGGTTTCTTTGAACGCACCTTGGATGATACCCATAGGGCTTATATATGCCCAGGGCGTACGTGGAATTGGGGTTACCATCTCGTATCGTCATAGTTTGTATCTTTATATTCCCCATTTCTCTAAATCCCTTGTTATATCCCGTTTTCAAAGTGGTTGTTTTATTCTATTGATATGCATCGAAGTGAACCATTGGGTGGAGTTTTCTCCAGAACCTCTTGGTTACTGAGATATATTCGTATATCTCACCCCGTCTCGGGGAATTTATTTCAGGAGGTAGCAGTGGAGCCGGAGCAGCGGGCAAGAGGCCCGCAGAGTGAGCAGTGGAGTGCTTCACATTTTGCATTTTGTTGGCCGTGTGGCCTAGGCTAGACTTAGGGCATGAACATCTCATATGTATGTGGTATGAGCTTCATTAGCATATTTGTTCAAGCCATTTTGCCTAAGTCTAGTAGTTATGTATTTGGTTATGTTGTCATTTGAATTTAAGTTGTAATATTGGAAGAATGTAAGTTAAAGTTTAAGTTTCAAGTTGTAAGTTGTAAAGCAATATTGTAATCGTATTTGATGCATGTCTATTTATGATGGAAGGGCCTTAGGCCTATTTTAGGTTATGATTATATGTATGATGAAAATATGCATGAAAAAGGTGTTAGTGATTGCAACTACTTAAGGATGATTAATATGAACTATATGCCTAATAACTATAAACTGGATTGGGTTGTAAGTGCCCCAAGGCGTTGTTGGTCTTTGTGTGTGCCAACCATTGGATTATTATTGTATTATCATGTGATTATTAGGTACATTTGAGGCTTAAATGTTCTTTTACAAATTTGGGATTATTGGAAAAACAAAGGAAACTCTAGCGAATTTTCTGTAGAATTGGCAGATTTTAGGAGAACTTTGGGAGAGCATATCTCCCTCCATAGAGGTCCAATAGGGACGTTCCATACGCTATTTTGAAGGTGGAGATGCCCTCTATCTTGTGCCAAAATTGGGAAAAATCTGGGTTGATCTTCGACCTTGAAAAATTGGAGGAACGCAGACCGCTCATGTGCCCACTGCATTTGAGGCAGTTCTGGTCCTGTTTTGGAAAATTAATTCCCGCTTCGTTTCTCAGTCAAATTAAGGGTATGATATATCAAATCGAAGATCGAGGTGTCTAGTTTATGGTGTAAATATTTGGGAGCAATTGAATGAGTGGATTGACTGCAGTAATTCGTGGAGTGAAAGAGGTTTAGAGCTGTTTTTGGGGTTGGTTGGCTATTTTGCTTATCCAACTTCAAACGGCGATAACCGGAGCAAATGAGCTCCGAATTGAGCGTGTGATAGCTTGTTGAAAAGGAAATTAAGTAAGACAAAGATATAATCTGAGAAGAAAGTTTGGTTGCGAGCGGTGTGTTCTCAAAAAAATTAGGAGTGAACCATGTTCAAGTAAGT